AGCTTTGCTTGCCCACGTACACCACGCAGTCATGTTACAGCCATAAAGGAACACGGCAGCCAACCACAGCAACTGCCTATTTAGACTCTCATTTTATTTATTTTGGTTCTGCTTAAAACAACATGATGCCAAATGACCAAATTCCAGCTTTCTTTGGATGCTGTACTGCTGACAAAAGGAGAAACAAATGACTCACTGCTTTCGATTTATAAAAGAATTTGTTAATAATGTAAATTGTTCTTGTTTATTAATGTTTCTACATAACATACAAATATAATATTTCAGCATATTTCAGCATATAATAATTGTTTAAGTAAAACAGTAACCGGCCTTTCTTTATCAGGTTTCTGGTTGTGATATTAAAGTGTCTCCTGAAATGTTTAGAAACAGAGCCATTCCAGAAAAGTTAGTTAAATCTTTATACTTTTCTTAATCACTAATTGGATGTTAAAGTTAGGGATGTAAGTTATGGATTAGTGAATGAATCTGAAATTGATCAATATTATCGACTGACTGTAAAAATTTAAGAATTTGTTCCAATGACAATGATATGCATTGTAACACATTTCCGGTATTTTGCTGCACTCAGTGGTTACGTGACCAGCGATTCGAGCCAAACATAAAGAGCTGCAGCATATCGGCTGTATGAGCGATGGCGTCCACCACAGACAGCTGAGCTCTGCAGCTGCAGGCTGTGCTGCCCAGCTGCTAAGCTTCAACATACGTAGTGGGTTTTAGCTACAAAATTAGCGCATAACCCCCCAATTTTGAATTACCTGCACCCTTAAATGTATCTGATAGCTGAGAAAAAAAGATTCCTGCGTGCAGACCATCTGGAAAGTTTGGCCCTAGTTAAGCAACAGCTAGTCGCAAAGCTTAAGAGTATGAGCAAAACTTGTCACCACTGACAGGGAGGCATCCTGTGAAATTGTGGGATGTATGAATGGATTATTTTGTTTTGACTGAGAGACTTGCTGAGATAAAGCTTTGGTTAAATTCCAAGTGTTATAAAGTGCCCCCTGTACAGAAAAATAGCCTGGGATCTATTTAGTTTTTTATGGAAAACGAGAGTTAATACAATTTGGTTAATTTTTTTTTATTTCAACAGGATGATCTAAAAAAAACCTTTTCATTGTAAAGTGATGCCTACATTAACAAGAAGGGTTTATTAAAGGTTAGACTTTAGTAATATTCAGAAATAGTTATGATTTATTGTTTTGCATAGGGTTCTTGCAGGATAAGGTAAGTGAGATTAAAGACTTTCTAATACTTTTTAATGTCACTTGAAATAAAAAGTTAGGACCAACTTCCCAATAAAAACTGGGTAGCAACAAATTGACCCAAATGTTCATTTTAACATAAACCATTACTTTCTGGCCCAGTAGAAATGTTTACAATTTTGAAAAATGCTCCATATAAAAAGAAAACTATAAAAACACAAATAACATATATACTTTAACAGCTACTGAACTAAATTCATAATTTTTTTTGTTCCCTACTCCTAAGTCCACAATAGTGGATGGCATGGTAAAAAAAAATGCCTTAAAACTTCTCCTACTGCACCTTTAAGTCTTTTTTACAAAACAAAATCAAGGGCGACCCAGATGTATATCTGGTTGCGCATGCACAAATGACCTGATGTACGGATCGTGTTTCCTGGACAGATTGGTTAGTGGCACAGCTTATGCGACAACTTTCCGCTTTGACAACAAACCCCATAATGCTTTGCAAGGAGAGATCTCCTAGCAAAGTATTCTTGAATAAATCTGCTCATCTAGTTCCCATGGATGATCACTACTTTTCAAGGTGCATTATGGGAAATTTCTACTCTATTACTTTCGGACACATTTAAAATGGCGCAACCACTATATAGTGTCCAATATATATATTAGGGCGGACATTTGGACAGAGCCTGTGACACTAGCATGCCTCTGTTTTGACATTACTTACAGTAAATACCAGTAAGCTTCGCTTAAGAATGAAGGCCACTGTTCATTCTTACTCTCTAAAAGACAGAGGTAACACTGCAACAGTGAAAGAAATTCTTTCTAAGCCAATTTTTTTAATTATTCAGATGGAAAATATTTCAATCTAATAAACCACCAATTAGCAGTTAATTTTAATTCGACATTTCTTTTTTTTTACATCCCTAATTAAATATCCTTTTTAAAGTGCTGTTTAAAACTAGATTTAGTTTCTGAAATTGTTTTTTATTTAGAGTCAAACAAAAATAAAAACAGCACTAGTTCATTTGAGGCATAAACAAATACAAAAAGAAAAGATTTATAGAATGAAAAGTTAACGAATAGAGATGCGCATATCCGATTATAAGATCGATATCTGTCTGGATATTAAAGAAAATTCCTTATCTGTCTAATTCACTAATAAATTGAAATAAGGTTAAAAATCTCTTGAATAGCAGGAAGTTTTACGACTTTAAGAGCATCTGTTTTTAATTTAACAAAATAGACTCAAATTGAACCCTAACAGTTGCAGATTTGGTTTCAGAATGGAATTTGTCCTGTTAAGATGATTTACTGATTATATGACTTCCTTTGACCTTATATGTTGCCTTTATTTATACATGTACTGTCTTTTGGAGGGAAGTTAATTTAACATTTAAAATAATCAACAGATATCATTAAAGCAAAAAGAGCTCTGCTTTCCTGAGAGTATCATGATCTGCGGATATCCTGATTGATTTATCAGAATCAGAATCCCAGTTAGTTGCATGGAAGCATATCGCTGCAGATCAGTCAGGGCTGAAGAGTTTTTCTCTGATGGACAACAAGTCTAAGTCCTGATTTGGCTTCAAATTCCTCAAAAACGTTCCAGTTTGCCTAACGATGGAATCTCCTCTGCTCTTCCACTGAGCCTAGCACACCTGTAGGAGAAGGACCCCGTGCGGATTGTGTTGCTGGACTTCAGTTCAGCTTTCAACAAAATCCTCCCACAGCATCTGATAGGAAAACTGGAACAGCTGGGCTTCAATACACCCCTCTGCAACTGGCTGCTAGACTTCCTTACAATAGTGCTCTATGGTGCTTCTGTAGAAGCACCATAGAGAGCATTCTGACCAGCTGTCTCACTGTGTAGTGTGGAGGCTGCAGCTCCTCAGACTGGAAGAAGGTGAGAAGAGTAGTGAGAACAGCAGGGAAGATCACCGGGCATTCTCTTCCCTCCATTAAAGACATTTCATCTCAACGCTGCGTGTCCCGAGCCCATAACATCAGTGACCCCTCACACCCCCAACATTGGACTGTTCTCCCTACTGCCATCTGGGAAGAGGCTTCGAAGCATCTGATGCAGGACCAGCAGGTTCTGTAACAGCTTTTCACCCACTGCCATCCTACTGTTAAACCAAGCATCTCCAAAGGCGGTCCTCGGGGGCCGCTGTCCTGCAGGATTTAGAGGTTTCCCTGCTCCAGCACAGCTGATTTTCATTGATAGCTGATTAACAGGCTTTTGCTCACTGGAAAAAATCAAAATCTAGATAAGTCATTTTTTCTTAAAATAAGTGCATTTGTTCTTGGATTGAAGAGATAAAAGAGACATTTTGCCAATGGAACAAGGCAATTTACATTTAAGATAAGAAAACACAATTGTATTGTCTTATTTCAAGTGCATTTTAACTAAATATCTTATTTTAAGAGTAAAACTACTCATCATTGGCAAACTATTATATTTACCTACTCAAACTAAGGATAAATACACTAAATTTAAGAACTTTTTACTAATTTCTAGATCGTTTTTTCCAGTGCTGAACTGCAATCATCAGAATCAGCTGTGTTGAAGCTGAGAAACCTCTAAAACCTGTAGGACAGCGGCCCTTGAGGACCGACTTTGGAGATGCCTGCGATAAACTACTGAAAAACCCTCAATCAAGTCACAAATCGAGACTGCATCACACTGATAACATCATACTTGCCCTACATGGTACCATATCTATTTATTTTTGCACTGCTCTGAACCTTCAACATCAATGACTTTTTGCACAATTTCTCTCCCACACTGTGTACATTTAACCACTGCTGCACTTGATGAATAAAAAGATTATTATTTCACTGCTAAACTGCTGCTTAGTCACTGTCGGAAAGCTGTATACACAAAATTTTGTTATGTATACGCTCTGTGTATACAAAATGACAATAACGTTTGTCTAAGTCTCTAAAACAGAAAACCTATTGAATGTTTGTGAATTGTAATAATAATCAGGTCTGATCCATAGAGGCTCCACTTCACATCTTCCAGGATTTAGAGAATCTGCTGCCAGCATCTTGCTTCCAGAAACCAGAGCAAACATTCAGGGCTTTGCAGTAGTCCATGCTCCCAGTGCTATTCAGTCACAAAATGGCATAACATTAGGACCACCATATAAACACCCAACTATAACCTGATTTAATCAAGAATTTACTTTATGAAACACACAGATCTAAGGCATTCTTCATCTCAATCTGATTCATACCCTTTAATTATAGGAAATTCAGAAACTTTCATTTTATATTTAAAATATTGACACATTTTAGGTGATAATCACCAATATAATGAGTGACAATAGACTTTATAAAAACAATTATCTCCAAACAGTCACACCATGTAAGCTGCGCTTTAAGTCATTTTCATACCATAAAAACGAGAAGCCTCTTTATGCGACTAGGATGTAATGAGAATGCGATTTCTTAATGAGAGTAAATTAAAACTTTTAACACTTAAAGCTGTCACATATTTAATTTATAAGTTTGGCTCAAATGTAATGCTCTGTAATGCCGAGGAAAAAGTAAAAAAAAAAAAACTCAACTAAAAAAACAAGTTGCTATTGATAGTAAAGTAGCCTAATCATAAATTTTATTTATCTGAATTGTTTTCTGCTGACAGTAACATAACGGTCAGTCATTCCATCACTCCTTTCCCTCTTACCGCCCACTCTCTACACTTACGCTCACTGGGTTCCTTTGTTTTTTATAAACTATCATTTTGGGTTTTTAAAGCCGCTCCCTTACCTGGACATAGTTGCTTTCGCAGTACTCCGCTACTCTTTCCAGGTTGGTATAACTGTCCAGTAAAGCTCTGCGTCCGGCTGGAATTTCCTCCTCCAGCAGCATCTGTAGCTCCGCCATCTTTACATAGTCCTTACTACCAACGGCTGCGGCTCGAGCTCACTGGATGCTCCGTGCTGCATTCCAGGGCTGTGGGAAATTTCACTACCACCGTTCGATACTTTGGAAATGTTGGGAAAGGTCAGCTTTAGGTTTCATATGGATGAACACTTGTGTGTGTAGACAGCCATTCTTGTTTAAATGGAAACCTGGGCAGTCCCTCCAGTTCGAGGTCCCTCACTATAGCAAACATGCACCCACTCCTCCAATTGTGTGCAAGTACTTAAAGAGTTTTAGCTCAACTTAATACTTAATTTACAGATATAGCCTTTTAATTTTTTGCCAAAGCTGAAAATACAAATGAATCTAGGTTGGTATTACTTGGCAGAAATGAAACTTTCACATTTGCTTTTACATGCACAACACAGCAAAGTCTCCATTCCACAATGAGAGGACATGCAAACCTCTAAGTCTAAGCTCTGCCGCCCTGAGCCATATCGCCAATGTCAAAAGCAACTTCTGGTATGAGGTTGATGTTTCTATGAGGGTTAAGCTGACTCAGAGCCTCAGTAAACAGATGCAGTATTTATCAAGGCCTAATTTGACAAGATATTAAATCATAAATAACCGGAAGGCAAGCTGGAATACTTCTATTTAGATCCTGAAAGCCAGGACCAACTGTAGAGATTACCAAAACACCTCTGAAGTTAAAATAATGTTATATACCAGGGAGACTTTAAAGACAAAAACAAAACAGAAGAATGATAAAAACTGAGACGAGTTGCAGAAAGACTTAGGAGAAATGTATCCAAATATCTATAAATCAAAGCATGTCAGAAGACTTTTTAAATAATAAATGTTGTTAGGAAAGTGCAAAAATAAAGTTTTCAACATGCCACCATGCAATAAACTGGTCTCAAGATTTGTTTCATGTTTTTTCATTTGTGCAGCTTTTGAACCAAACCTAGAAGAAACTGCTTTTCTTAACTTTGGCATTTGTGTGTAACGAAAGTTTTTATTGTTTTTGATTAATTAGCAGCATTGAACCCTTTTTTCGACATGAATTATTATTTGTTCACTCTAGCAAGTGTCTATAGATCCTTGATAACTAAATCTCACCTTTTAGTTTACTGTTCAGGATTCAGAAATCACACAGTAAAAATATAAGCACATCCTCCACATTGCTGGTCTTTATGCTCCAGTTGAAGTGTAGGATGGGGTTTCCTGCAGTCAAAGGCCACCAATTCATGCATTACTGTAGATAAACATATTTATTTATATAACAAAATAACATTTAACAATGGATACATATATACCGGTACAAAATCATACATAAGCATGTAAGAAAATGGATGGATGGATGGATGGATGGATGGATGGATGGATGGATGGATGGATGGATGGATGGATGGATGGATGNCTTTTATTAAGTCCAATACAGCGGCTGACAGATATTTAACATGACTGCTTTCAGGCAGGGATGTCCAGGTTTTCATCTCCTCTCTGGAATCCCTCCAACTCCATTGTCATCAAGAAGTCTGTTCACACAAACAAGCATAAACACACACACATAAAAAGCAGGATCTTTTTCAGTGTAGCCTTCTGGATATAAGCTCACTCTTACTGCCACCTAGTGTTGAAAAGAATATTTCATTATGATAAAATCAATGAAAACAATGCAGTAATAATGCACTGAAACACTGAATAATGTGAGCAGAGGTGGATATTAACTAGTTATATTTACTGAGTTATGGTTACTTGAGTAACTTAAGTAATAACAAACTTGTTTACACAATTAAATATTCCCAATTTCAAGCACACTGATTTCATAGGTTTTATGGTAAAAAAAAAACAAAAAACGACAGTTGGTTTGGAAAATTGTCCTTGATTGTTATTTTTTTATTACATTATTATCATAATTTTTTATTATAGTCTTTAAAAGACCAAAATTTGCACATAACTTTGGATCTTTTTTGTCTTTATAACATAAATAATAATATAAGATGCTACTCAGTGTTCAGTACTTGAGTAGCATTTTTACCAAATACTGTTTTACTTTTTTGGACAGCTACTTTTAACTCTTACATGTGTAAAAATAATATAAAGTAGTGCTACTCTTACTTGACTAGGATTCTGGGTACTCTACCCACCTCTGAATGTAAGGAAATCCCTGTACGAGCATCAGGGAGAGCCTGTTTCTCAAACAATAGTTTGTATTTTTTTTTTTTTTTAAGTAATATTTACTTTGCATGCTACTTTTGCAGTTTGCATACAAACATGATGCAGATATTACATCTTTTCCAATAATAATAATCATACTGATATTTTTTCATTATTTGAGGTCAGAAAAGCTGCCCCATTATAAATAATCTATATAGTATGAAAATCTTCCCTATATATCAGGGGAAAACAGATTAAATACAGTAAGGTGGAAAAAATTTGCACACTCCAGCTGAGTTTTTCGATATGCAAAGATTTACCAAAGATTTTTTTTTCCCATTTTATTCTCATAGTGAGACTATCTTGCAAGAAAGTCTACTAATAAAAGCAAACAAAAAAAAGTAGTGAAGGAAATGGTATTTCTTATGAGGTTTGATCCTGTCCATACTTACCCTCTGTGTAGTCAATGTCTGGCCGTGTGGAAACCACTGCCCAGGCCAGACCCACCAGCAGCGCCACCACCAGATTGACCACAATCCATGGCCGCAAGATCTGCTGCTCCGAGCCTGGAGGCCTGTAAGAGTGAAGGAGAAGAGACGTCTTTCTTTGGTGGTTCCTAAATATCTTGTGTTGATAGGTACTGTGACAGAAACCACAACTGATTGGCTACTTAGACCAAATCTAATTTTTACCTTTCTGCTTTTACTCAAACAGTTATTTGCACTTTTACACCATTATTCACATTTTTCTTAGTTTTGGTCCAGCTGAGTAGATTAGATTTGGCGTCTGCAAACTACAGCTTTAAAGCCAACAGTGGCTTTATGGCTCTGTGGTTTGTACAAACTCAATGTTTTTTATTTTATTTGCTTTTGTGGATCAGGTGTTCAGATTTTCCTGTAGGTAGAGGTTTTTTTTTTGTAGATTTTCCTTGTTGACCATTTGTTTTGGTCCATGTCATTTCCTCATCTTTGTAATAATTAAAGTTCTTTTTCCTGGTAGATCACTTTTTTAGATGTCATTTCACTTTCATTCACTTTCATTTTTCAGTATTATCCATAAGTGAATTGGTTTTTATTGAGGCACAGTTGATTGTCACAACTGTTATATATAATATTTATTATAATAAATATGAAAAAGTAGGTGGAGCTCATTATGGTTTATTGGATATGCTTTACAGTCCAAAAACCAGCTCAGCCACCTGCAGCTATGTTATAGGATGCTTGGGGCTGGTCTGACAGCACATGTTTCTCTGCAACTGTGCATTGACAGCAAAAAATTGCATTAAAGGTTGGAGAGCTGGATGTAGGCGGTGTGACCTGACCTTAAGGTTTCTGCTTTTAGATTACATGAGTGGCTACAGGTGCTGGTAAATACTTACTGGCTAAGATGTCTAAGATCCATCTGGATTTTTTTTATCATTACAAAAGAGTTCTCAGTTGTGACCAGCTGAGTTTTCACTAAGGTTTGATAAACATCAACCCTGGTTCTCACCACAGCGTCTCATTGGCAGTAGGATAAAGGTTGATGCGGTCGCTGGTCATCTGCTGGCTGAGGGACAGTATCAGGGCTATGAAATACACTGAATACACACAGAGATGTTATGAAAAGCTGGTTATTTTCTCCACCATATTTATCAATGGCAAGATCATTTCCTTTGACTCGTCTCACTCACAGAAGGAAGCCACAGCCACAGGGTCCAGAGTGAGGAAGCCTCTCAGGGCCATGGACGTCTTAGCCAGGTTGACTCTGCAACGCACACAGATTTTCAGATGTTTTGATACAGAAATGTAAACTTCTGGATACTTTTTTGTCCAAATTTGTGCAGAGACCTGTCGAAGGAAGACACGGTGCTGATGGCCAGCAGCAGGTAGAGTAGAGACTGAGCTGGATAAGCCAGAAGGTGATACTGCTGTAGCAGGTTGTGCAGCGTGGTCATCTGCTCGCCTGCCAGCACGTACATGACAATGATGTTCCACACGGCGAAGCCAGCCAGGAACCCATGAGAGAACAAGCCGACTACCCTGAGGATGAAATAAAAACACCTCATTTATCATATATCCCCCTAATTCTTCATTTATTGGCAGGATGCCTGGATTGCCTGTTTCTGTTAATGTACTTTATGGGCCTAATATTCTACGATTCCAAATAAGGTGCATTAAATTGCACATGCAAAATAATTTTTTTGCACATTAAAAAAGTGGCTGTGATTAAGATGATTTACAAATACTTTTTGTGAATAATGTGAAGATGCACATCATGCTTTGGTTCAGATTGAGGGCTCTACTAGCAGATTGAGACGCCACGAAAGAAAGAGGAAGTTCTAAGCCATTTTGTTTTAGGTAGTAATAACAATAATATGTTAAAAATCATAAAACTAAATGTCATTTATATTCAGTTCAATTCAGTAAAAAAAAAAACACTATTAATCCCAAAAGAAAAAAAAAAATTCTTAGTAATTCACATGTTTTTGTTACATGATCTGCTCTAATGAGGATAGCAGAAGAGGTCACAATTTCCACAAAAGACTTGTAGAAAATATGTAGCATCTTTCTTCAAACACTGGACGACGTGAGCTTCTTGTAGATGGCTTCACAGTTGTTGCATCTTCAGTATAGTTTGTTATCCGGGTGAACACAAATGTACTTATACAGTACTCCTCTACCACCTCTATTTCTTCTTCCATGATGTTAGATTAGATTAGATGAGCTTTATTGATTTCACAGCGGAGAAATTCACTCGTCACATATTGGCATATAGTAATTAAAGAAGGTGCAAACAAGGAGGAAAAAGGTGCATTAAAGCTGCAGTCTGTAACATTGAGAAGAGAGCAGACTTCGACTGAAAATTTGAAGAAAAACAGTTTTCACGTCACTCCCCCACCCTCTCTGCTTCACTCATGCCCCACCTCCAAGCTCCACCCCTCTCACAGCATC